GAAATTGTAATTGACAGACTATTGTTAAAATTAAGGAACAACTGGAATGTCTTTTAAAATCACATCCAAAACAGAAAAATGCCATATTTAATTTAATTCAGGCATATTATTGGTGGTTTCAACTTCACTCGGGTGCTTTTAATCATTTAAAGTCATGTTTTATCTTCTTTTTCCAAACTTCATATTTTTCTGTAGCCAGAGTTGATCCTGAAGTTAATTGTGAAAAGAATATAGTTGTTTCTAAACAAAACTAGTAAGCATGATTTCCTGGGTTCTTTCTTGTACTTCAATCATATTACAGAATGATGCTTGTGGATTCTTACCAGGACTTAGAAACCTTACACTTGGAATCCCAGAAAATGACTGAATCTAAATAAATCCCTTGATTTCTCCCATGTGTTGGTAAACTCCTTCATATCTGATGGATCTTATCTGATGAATCTTCTTATCCTTGGCATCTACCATAGTGTTACAGTCCCATGACTTCACACAGAACGGCCGGATTACCACATGTCTCTTTGTTGCCATGCTTGTCACTGAAAAGCAGCAAAAATTTATTTTTTTTCTTTCATTAAAGAGTTTCTGTCAGAAATGTCTATTGCAGTGGATTAGTCAGATTTCAAAGCCTGGAAGCTGGACACTGATGAGTGTGGACATGCAAATTGCATCATTCTGTGGCCAAGACTTAAAGAAGAGCAGGAAGCACGTCCACTAAATAAAGTTAAACCAATGAGGCCTTTCCTTTCTCCGTTGTCTTTAAATTTGTCAGAGGCATTTTGATTCAGAATTTAGTTTTTTACATAATGCAGGCCAGCAATATCCCAGAGATGTAATTATATAAAGATGGGTAGCTAACAACCTTCTGTCTCCTATGCTGGTTCCTGAAGAGTATAATCTGTCTAACCACTGCAGCATTTTTAAAAGAACACCTGGTTTCAATTTGGGTGACATGTTCATCCTCTGTTGTGTATAATCCAGACCCTCAGCCAAGGGTTGGCAATACAGCTGTGGACAAAGCTCCTCACAGACCCTGACCACTGAAAGTAATTCACTAGGCAAATACATGTGGAAGAATGTAATTGTTCAGTGTCTCGGTGTGGTGGAAAGTCAGTGAAGCCCTGTGAGTGGTGGAGTAAGGAGAACATGAACTAAACCTCTTTTTTCTAACACACTCTTAAGCATGGCTTAGCTTCTCAATAACTAAGACCCATGTGTACCATGACAGTTTCTTGTCCCTGACATCAGGAAAGAGCTGCTGCCAGCCACTTGTTACACATACATTGCCTTGGTGATGTACCTGTGCCTGTCACCATAGCTACACCCTGACAATGACCTCAGCAGCCACTCAGAATCATTCTTACAAAACAAATTATGGCTATAATTAACTCTCCAATATGAATTTGTTTAGGACTTGGTGTTTTCTTTTTTAAAAGGTTAAATGAATGGAATAATACAACCTGACCTATCCCCCATCTTCTTTCAGTTTTTGTTGGGAATGTGAAATTCATCAATGGAAAATAACAGTTTACAGATTATTCTGTTACCTCTTCTCAGAATGTGCAAGTATAAGCAAAGAAGACATCCTTATCTTACTAACTCCATTTCAAAGGGAACAAAGTGGCTTTTCCCCCTCCCCCACCAAGCCAATGTGAAATGCAGAAAACACTTTGCCTCCCTCTGAGGCCTGGACAGCCAGGGAGGGTGGGAGCAGTGGGCTGGGGGCTTTGCAGGCACAGGCTCTTCATCCTGGCCCCTTCTGAGCAGTGAAAACTGCAATTTTTGTTGTCTTTTTTTTTTTTCCCTGTTTCACAGATTTTATCTTCAGTATTGTGCCTTCTGAACACCTAGATCTTCCAGGAGAGTGCTGCTAATAGAAATAAATTGTATGTCGTTTGTTTGGTTGGGGAGTTTGCTTTGCTTTGCTCTGTTTTGAGGTGTGTTTGGTATGGTTTGCTTTTGGTTATAGATGATGTATGCTGCAGTTAGCAGACGTTGATATTGTTCTTTTCAGCCTTTTGATAAACTACATTAGTCTAACTTTCTACCCCAAATGAAGTGGGCCTTTCTCTAGACCATCCAACTGAGACAGCAAAACACTGTCCAGCAAGAACTGTCACTTACTCAAAAATGTATGCAACAATTTAAAAGACTGTTTCCTGGGCAGTAATGAGACAGAACAGAGCTTGACAAGCAGCAAGTGCTCAGTTAGGTGTTACTCTACATGAACTGAACTGCCTTCAGAAAGAGCAAAGGAATGATGAAGAGGAAGGATTGCTTTCACGAGTGTGAATGTCTAGACACAGCTCAGTAGTATCCTAGATTCACAGATTCCACTCGCAGTTGTGTTGGGTGGCCCCTGAGCCTTTGCAAGTGGCTTTCCAGTCGTAGATGTGTTCCCTGACTTCATATTAGTCATGCACGACTTTCGGGGAGCTCAGCATACCCTCTCCATTAGATGCTATGTGTACCTGCCATGCAGCTTGACAGGTAATTTCCTGCTTCGTGTACTGATTTTTAAAACTCTCCTTGGCAAACACACACCTGTACTTGAAAATGGAGTAACATTGGGTAATCTGCTTGGTTTATCTTTAGGAAACAAAGCTATGATTTCTCTTTACCCCTTAAGACTAGCACAACACCGTGCATACAAGAATTAACAGCCCTCTGTTCTGAGCTGTGTGGCATCAACTAGAGGGCAGCATATTTCTCTGAAATAAGCTCTTGTATATAAATGATGATTGTCTAGATTTTAGAATATATTTTAATTTTTTTTCAAATCAAGGGTCTGATAAATTAGAAAATTCTACCCATATAAAGTTAACAGTTGCTTTTGTATCTGTTTTCTGATGAGCTGATTTCTCTGTAGATGAGCTGTTAACCGCATCAGTGACTCCAAGGTTATGCCAAGACTTTTACTAGAATATTCTTCACACTTATATTCTCCTAACCAGCCCCCCTTTTGCCATCTAGCCCACTTTTATAATTACTGAAGGCATGAAGCAGGTTCTTTTTAGTCAGTAGAGAGCTAACTGCCAGCTTCAAGATCACTGATGTGTCTGCAATAAGGCTCCAGAGAACGAACTATTCGCTCTACAGAAAGAACGCTTTAGATACTTTCTTACTTTAAAGAATTGATGCACATCCAAAAAGGCAGTAATTTTATTTCTTTGTTAAAGTCAGACTTTACAATTATATGATTCTATGAATCTTACAGACTTAACATCTGTTTCTTTTTAACATTCTGCTTCAAATTTGAATTTCCCTCATGGAAACTCTAGTAATAAAAATTAACTGTAAAAGATTAAATGCTAAAGCTAAATTCTGTGTAGGAAATCAATCCAACAGTGAGTGGTAGAGTACTATTTGCTTGGCACTGAAGCAGAAATAGATATGTGATAAGACAAAAAGCTCTTATCCTAGGTAGATCCTATCGATTTGAGTATTTATATAATTGCTGAGTTATAACTGCCATGTACACCAAGCATTCACTGTTGCGTGCCTCAAAACTTATTCTATCTTGTTTGTGGTCATTAAGGAGCCAAAGATCTAATTCCTTCCAGTTCTATTACTGCTCTACTTTTTTTTTTTCCTTAATCTTACAAGTTAGTCCCTTTGTGTAGACACATATAGTTGTGTATTTTGAAGTCATATTTGTGCCTTACCATTCCAAGGGTGGAGGGGAGCATAGTTATTCTTTGAAATCCTAAAAATATTGCTCAGAGCAATCATCTTCACCTGTCATTAATTCTACCAAATTATGTCATTCTTCACATTGCAAACTATGCTTTACATTTCAAGAGAGTGGAAACTGTGTGGAGAAGGTTTTAGAAGTGATAGATTGATACTGATGATGAATATGTGTAACTGTCAGGTATTTGGAGTGGTAGAGACAGCACAAGTCAGTTTCTTTGTGCCAAATGGAAAGTTCTATGACCTGATTGTGGTGATATCACATGGCTCTCTGTATTTGACAAAATCTCATATACTCTCATATGGAAAGATAGACCCCCCCAAACACACATTTGCATGATATATGTATATATACAAACACATGCATATACACATGCATGTACATATATGTGTGTGTGTGTGTGTGTGTGTGTGTATGTGTGTGTGTATCGATATATATCAGGGTACTTGTGACAGTGGGTAAGCTCCAGCTGCAGTCTGTGGTTTAATAAACAGTATAGTCACTTTACTGATTTTGGTAATGTCAAATTCCTGGTTTTGTTAATGTACTATGGATGTAAAGACACCCTCATCTGGGGGAAGGTAAGTGAAGGATTCAAGGAATTCTCTGTGATATTTTTGAAGTTTCTTGTGAATCGGAAATTACTTAAACATAAAATGTTTTCTTCAAAGGAATATGTAAGTCTCATATGACCAGATGAATTTAAAATTGGGATCAAGTGGCCCTAAATATTGAGAGTATCTGACCTTAGACATTATTACTACCATCACTAAAACTCTCATGGCTTCACATAAACAGCAGGTTACTTAGGCTTTGGACAGAATTGAAGACATGATGAGCTTCTGTCTGTCTTCTCTCAGAATAAGGAAATTCATTCCAGGAAAAGACTTTGATGTTCTGCAAAGAAAGAAAAAGACAAAACTTGACCTTATACCTAACTTTATTAGATGTTTGTTTATGCAAATTTGGTTTATAGGAATAATTCAAAACTATTTATTTTAAACTTTTGATTCACCACTCAGACTTGCTACGAAAGCAGAGAATTAGGAGACTAATTTTAATTTCTTACCCACTCTCCCGTACTTTCTGTGTAGGTTCCAGTTTATAGTAAGAAAAGGCATGAGAAGAACATCAAGTAGGCAGCATGGTAGATAGCCTTCCTCTGAGCACTGGAAGACTGGCTCTCTTTCTTTCCTAAACTTGCTTGTCACTTTCTGATGCCTTTCTCTCTTTGCGATACATTTTGCCCTTCCCCTTCCATGGGTTTGGAGTGATGGTGACTGACCTCCTTGTGTCTTCTCTCCTCTAGCTATCTGAATGACTTGGACCGTGTAGCCGACCCCTCCTACCTGCCTACGCAACAAGATGTGCTTAGAGTTCGAGTCCCCACCACAGGGATCATCGAATACCCTTTTGACTTACAAAGTGTCATATTCAGGTAGTAACTGGGCCCATAACACCTACTTCTTCCAGATTTTATGCCTTTAGTGCATATGTTGGTGAACCCTGTAGAGACTGTGGTCATGTGTAGGGTTTAAAGTAGAGTAGCTTTGTGTGAATTATTATCATTAAATACACAACTGAAATTTTATATCAACGAAAGATGAGACAGAAGAAAGGGACACTAGATTTTTCATTTAAATTTAAATCACCAGGCAATTCATGATATCCGAGTTTTCTGTCGGTAGAGCATAATCAGTGACACAAACAGTTGTCTTCTTTATATGTTTAACTGTATATCATTTTAACTGTGAGGACATAGAGTGTAGTTTTAGAATTTTATAAGATATGAATGGTCTTGGGGCTGGATATATGGCTCAGCTGTTAAGAGTGCTGACTGCTCTTGAAGAGGACCCAGGTTCAGTTCCCAGCACCCATATGGCAGCTAACAACCATTAACTCAAGTTCCAGGGATCTGACACCTTCTTCTGATCTCCTCAGGCTTTGCATGACATGGGTGCACTTATATACATGCAGGCTATGCACTCATACACATAAAATAAAAATAATAAATATTTTTAAAAGATATGAATGGTCTTATGATCCTATCAGTAACAGTAATTATATGTTTTCAGAAACTTTTTGTTGTTGTTTTGTTTGGTTTGGTTTGGTTTTTTGAGACAGTCTCACTCTGTAGCCCAGGCTGACCTCAAAGTCTCAGCAATTCTCCTGCCTCAGCCTCCCAAGTGTTGTTTTATATTCTTAAAATAAACCACTCTGGAATTTTCAATATTCCTGATTTTGAAAATGGGGTAATTAACTGTCTGAATTGACGTATCCGGGGAGAACGGAAATCTGCTATTCGTGCTGCTCTTCTTGTCTTGACACTTTAAATGAAACATTTTTTAAGATGAAAAAGCAGCAGTAAGATATTCTCACTGAATCTCATCTTTGACAATCTCTTAACGGTACTTTTAGTCAGAATACAAACCACATGGTGCTTTGAGGAAAGAAACTGTCCGTGTCTTTGACTTGAGCGTTGAGCTGAGCTTTCAGGGCGGCCGGTTCGCAAGGCTGTGCGGCATCAGGGTATGATGCAGCATCTTCAGCCGCCCTGCGGAGCTGTGCTTGGGGCTCTGATTGGCCTGCGCTCTGCTATTTCTTGCCAAAGCAACTTTTTTAAAAAGAAGTCTCTAATCATTCTTTGCGTCTGTGGTCTAGCCTAGCTGACACATACTGCTCTAAAATATGTGGCTGCGAGGTAGGTGGCGCTTTGAAAATATTTCTGCACCTCTGTTTTTTCTTCTAGAAAATGGCTGTTTTAGATGGTCACCAAGGCTCCCTGCTGTGTCAGCACCCTGTGTTACATGATTTGAGTTTACAACATCTAGATGTCTTTGGGACAACCAAACTTCCTCCTTTTTATGACTATATGACAGAATATTTTCAGAAAGCCTGTAGCATTTCTTGGGGATTTTCACATCCTCTCTGACACTTTGTGCACTGACATTGAAGGATATTTTTGCTACTGCAATGGAAGTAAGAACTTAGTTCTCTAATTCCTGCCATCCTCAGAGCACAGCGTGGGGTCCCTGTAACACAGCTTCTTGGAGTACAGATTCCATGGAAATGATTCATTCATGTGATCATGCCTAGGAGGAGCCAGCATTGTAATGTTTAGTCAACACCTAAAATTTTCACTTTTGATGTCCATAGCTCACAGGTCTCTTGGATCCATTGTTTTCCCTTCCAGTCTCTCTTCTGTACCTTTGAAACCTTTTAGAAACACTCACTGGGAAGATCCTTGAGTTCTGAGTTGGGGAAATAGCTCTGTCAGTAAAGTGGTTGCCTGCAGACCCCCAGAATGCAAATACAAAGCCGGTGTTTTGACATGTGCTGGTAACCCAAGTGCTATGGGGTTGAGAGAGGCAGAAACAGAAGATTCCTGGGGCTTATTGGCCATCTGGTGTAGTCAGTTGAACTCCAAGTTCAATGAGAGACGTTGTCCCAAAAAATAAGGTGAAGAGCACATAGAGGATGATATTCGACATCAACCTCCACACAGATGTGCACACATACCCTTACATGCACACACAACCACACACACACACACACACACACACACACACACACACAAAGAAAAAAGCTTTGAGTTCTTAGGTTTAATTATGAGGAAGTCTGAGAGCGTGAAGACAAGCACCATGTCCAACAGATGCTTAAGCAGCTCTGACACTCTCCAGCCTAAGCCTCTCATTTTCTGAGAGCCTTCCTCCCTCTGCATGTTGGGTACATCAGTCAAGACACAGGTTCAGCAGTCCAGCAAAATGGATTCAGTTGAAATACTGCTAGATATGTGCAAATACACATCACCACTCAGTTCTTGGTGTCAGTGCTAGTATCTGAAGGTGGCCAAGCACAGAGTTGCCATGTTAAAAACAAACCCTGGAGGTGGTTCAAATGATGCCTCTGTGTAGTTTAGTGGAGCATCTTGGTATCTTACACCACACTTCATTTCCAGAGGGTGGCAAATTGGTTTGTGTCCCATGTTACCTGATACAGCTGGACCTGTCCCAAATTACTACCAATATTGAAAGTAAAAAATAAATAAATAAATAAATAAATAAATAAAATAAAAGATCTTCATCCTACAGAAGGAGAAATAAGTGGTCAGGTTAGTTGAAGTGTCACCCCATATGAAATGTATAGCATCTATGTCCTTTCATTGTGTCCTGGTCATTCCTAGTATCCCAGGAGACATAGGAGGGTCTTTGCTCTAACTGTCTAGAAAATGAAAATGAGCTTCAATATTTTTTACACACAAATGAGACTCCTGTGCCTGCCTTTTCAGTGAACAGTTAAATAAAGTACTGCTTTGCTTGGCATGGGTAAGGAATTTTTTATATAGTTATAATTTTCATACACATCTGGTACTTTTCCAATAACAACCAAAAACATGTGTTGCCTGGAAAGTCTTGATTTTCTGTCAGGTAACAAAACATTGGTAGATATTCATTGAGCGTGAATTGGCTTAGAGGCTGCTGTCTCCTAGTTTATAAGTAGTGTATTATAAGTAGTTGTATTGATATTTTTTAGTTTTTCATTGTTATTAATGTAACTGTTGTTAACTTTTCAGAATGGTGGATGTGGGGGGCCAAAGGTCAGAAAGAAGAAAATGGATACACTGCTTTGAGAATGTCACCTCCATCATGTTTCTAGTAGCGCTTAGCGAGTACGATCAAGTTCTTGTGGAGTCTGACAATGAGGTAAGTGCTCTTTGGACAGGCGATGAATTATCATTTTATTATCTGATAGAAATAAATGATGAGAAGTAGGGTGAGAATGCAGTGAGCTGAAGTCATTACTTTCTTGACCATGATTTCAGGATTTTTTACTTATTTTGTTTTTTTATTACATTTATTTTGTGTGTATGCACATGCATACTCTGTGGCATACATACGGAGATCAGAGCACAGTCTGTGGGAGTCTGTTCTCTTCTTCCCCTGTATGGGCTCCAGGAATCAAGCTCAGGTCATGAGACTTGACAACAGCACCCTTACCCACTGAGCCATCTTTCTGGCCGTGTGGAACCACATGGTACAATCAGAGTGGTAAGCTTTTCTGTCAAAAGTATCAACAGTTCTGTGTGCTTAGATCTAAGTAGAACGTGTTTGATACTTTAACACTGTTCAGAGGTTCTGAGTAATCACACATATGATTTCATAACCTTTCTGTGGCATAGGATTCGGAGTGTTGCGTGAATCACCTATTTTGTTTTGCTTTCATTTTGTTTAAATCATTGTATGATGGGTGGGTCCTAGCAAGTACTCAGAACCAACTTTGCAGCTGGACTCAAATCAGTTCATCGTGTAGCCGTAAAGTGCCTTTATGCCAAGATCTTTCTGCTCCTAGTGTACTCATATGCCAATCTGGAGAGAGGGTTCAGGATTATGACCTCTCTGTAGCAGGCTAACTTAACAGGTATCAGTATGGATATTGAGGATGGTAGAGGCATGATGATGAGTCAGAGTTTATTGTGGGAGATCATTAAGGGGTATAGTAGGGAACCGCCTTTAAGCTGGACTTCAGAGTATGTGTGCCTGAATGGGGGTGCTGTTGATAATCCTGACAGCATTAGAACTTGCAGATGGATAGGCCAATAACTATAAAGTTAGAAAACAGAAGGAAGTAAGAAATTCCCAACAGTTGATTAAAGATCTGACATGTCAAAATTTACTTTTTTAACACACATTTTTAGATACATTTATGTAATTAATATAAATTCCTGGCTTCTTGGTTGTTTTAAGATAGTTTGCTTTCTGCAGGTCTTAACAGTCTTGTTACAGTACAAACCCATTCCTTTGTAGCATTTCTTTCGTATGTGCGATTGCTACCCTTCTACCAACCAGTGTCTCATACAGAGCTGTGCATTACCTGTTCATGCATGTCAGTGTTTTTCTTGGTTTTACCAGTATATAGGGGTTCCCATCAACCAAAGGACTGAGACTTGTTAGTGACCCAGGTGCCTCCTGAGCTGTAAAACAATGTGCCTACAAACAAGACAAAATACATGTCAGTTATCAAAATATAAACTAGGGAATTGTTGCCAGAATTTTCACTGTAATACCTCTGTGTGTTTTCTATCTCTCTATGTTTTCTATACCCATTTGTTGTTATATAAATCTTGCAGGCTGTATTTTTAATGTATTGCATATTTTAGATCCATTATAAAACAATCTCATTTCTTTGATTGATGGATCAAAACCACAAATACTTTGATGGTTTGCCTACTGTGTTGTGGATACCAAGGTATCTAAACAGATACAAAACTGGAGAGAAAAATTAATGTTGCCCTGAAGGAGCTTGTAAAGAACAAATTTTTTTATTAGATTATGGAATATAAAGGGAGGAAAACCTTTCTGTGTAGATCTTTTCTTATCTTTAGTTTCCTACCCACTAAAATAAAATTTACATATGTCAGCTCCACAGAAAGTAGAGGAAGCACATGTAATTTCATTTCTATGTTTGCATTATAGCAAGAGGACAGTGTTTACCCATACACATTTTATACAAGATAAATGTGCCGTTTTTCCAAAGAAATGCATGTTATGAGTTAATGGTAATCAATTTGCCACTTTAAAATTAGCAAAATTAAAAAGAAAGTCGATTCTTGATTCTTGCTGGTCATGGTGGCACATGCCTTTAATCCAAGCACTTGGGAAGCAGAGGCAGGCAGATCTCTGTGAGTTCAAGGCCAGCCTGGTCTACATAGCGAGTTCCAGGACAGCTGGGGCTACAGGGAGACCCTGTCTCAAAAAAGAACCCCCCCAAAAAAAGACCTTTGAATTAAATATTATGTTTATTTTAAAACTCCACTAAGTAATAATACATTATAAATTATGTAACAGAAAGAAAATGTATATGACCAAAGGATTTTATATATATCAAAATATATAAAACTGAAGTGTATCATACAAGTAAAAACTTAATCATGGGGGGGAGGAGGTCGATTCTTTAGATGACTTGTCAGCCAAGTCCATCAAAGCATTCAGGTTCCCCTTTTATCTGAGCCGCACCAGTTTCACTAGACATTGTAATAGAGATCTGGTTTTTGGTTCTTTTGTTTATTTGGTTGGTTGCTTTGGTTTTTTTTTTTGTGTGTGTGTGTGTGTTGAGGTGTATTAGTTCAATGGCATTGTTTTGTGTATTGGATGTCTTCAAATTTCCTCAGTAATTTGTCTAAAAATATGATCCAGTTCCTTTGATTTTTAAGGTGATACCCTGCAACAGATTAAAATCATAAGGCTGTCATTTTCCATTTGGACTCTCTAGTCAGTTGTTGTGAATATTTTGAAAGTCCAGGCTATAATTTTGGGATGTAAGTCATGCCCAGTTTGTGGTTCTTTCTGAGGCCTTTTCAGCAGCCTGATGCTGGCATCAGATGATCCAGAGGCATAACAAGAAAAGTGCTATCCATCACTCTCTCCATCCATGTTAACCATAACCAGCACCCTTGATAATTACAACACACTGTCAGAAATACTTGTTAATACTAGAATGATCTTTTTTAAAAATTTCAGTTGTACTAATACATGACAACACCATTGCTTCCAATTTATTAAACAATTAAGGCAATTCAGAACTCCAGAATTATAGTTTCCCAAACTTTTGGTGTGGGTGAGACAAAACAAGAATAAACTCCCTGGGCAGTTTGGTTTTGGTTCTCAAATCTTATAGTCATAACTTGGATTCAAAGCAAACTTTACTATACTTCCCTTGGTATATATTTGGGAAAGAAACCTGAGAGTGAATTTTCATACCTTTTTTTTTTTCCTATCCTAGGAAGCTGTGAAAAATGTACTGCAGACCACAAGCAAAAATAGCTAAGAAGTATTTTAGGGGCTAGAAAGCTCAGGTATTCAGTAAAGTGCATGAGGACCAGAATTCAATCCCCAGGACCCACTGAAGAAAGCTGAGGTCCATGGTAGTGCATGCATATAATCCCAGCTCTGGGGAGACAGGCGGATCCTGGGACTTACTCATCTGCTAGCCTAGGCTGTTTGGCAAGCTCCAGGCCCAGGAGAGTGGCTGACATGGATGGAGCCTGAGAACAGCACAACACCTGGCCTCCAAATGCACAAACATATGTAGGCACAGGAATGTACAAGAATGCTTTAGATTATTCCCTTTGTTTTGGCTTTAAATATTTGGAAAGCTTTACGTATTAATTTCCAAAAGTTTACATAGATGTGCTTTTTGTCTATGATTTTCAGCCTTTCCCAAATAATAATTTGGGGAATGAATTTCTTTCTCTTTTTATCTCCAAATAAGGAAATAAGTCATGAAATAGTGGGCAGGCAAAACCAAAGTTGTAATGCTGCACAGATTTCTGAATCCCCTTTCCCTCTTATTTTCCCTGTGTTAATATACCAGCATGCGGCCAACTATAACTCCTTCATGGGCACATTATTTCAGAGCCCCTGAAAGTCTAGAACAGAGTAAGATTTGCAGTGTGCTTATCAGTATAAGCTCACACACAGCTTTCTGTCTTTATTTTTCTGGATTTCTGGTTCATGACTATTTACGTATTCATACAGAGATGCTTTTCTCAGACATTATCTGAGGTTCTCCCAGACCTGGCTCTGTAGACTCTCACGGAGTGAGACTTTTTTTTCTCCACATTTCCTTTTAATGTAAGCTTCTGAGTCTTTTGAAGTGGACATAACAAATTGTGTTACCGTTTTTATTAAATCGTCTAGATAGTCCCTCCCAAACCCAGGTCTTCCTTTGTCCAAGACGGATTTCTCAACATTAGTTCTCACATTTATCCTTCAAACCTGATTCTTGGAGTTGTCAGTTGGTAAGTCAGACATTTTTAATGCCTTAGCATTTCATGCCTCTTTAAAACCTGCTAAACCATTACTTGTGCATTACAACAAGGATTATGGCTCTGGCCAAGATGCCTCCTCCCAGTTCACCACACAGAGAAAAAGCAAGCACTGTCAGGTTGCCAAGAGAATGGGAGCAGAGTGAAATCCTTTTCTTTCAAGGAGCTGGAATTCTTTCCCTCAACCTTGGAGTCCTCATTACATTCATAGACAGTAGTGGGCCAGCAGAGACCCTTGCCTATACATTTCATCTTGAACTCTTAAAACAAGCAGTACAAAATGTGCATTTGTTTGAATACTTCTCCTGTACTATATTTTTACATGAACTTTTTTGAAGTTTTGAAACCAAAGTCCTAACATTTTCTTTAAAAGTGTGAGATATCAGAGGGTGGGACCTTGTGAAATTTCCCCATCCACACTGGCATGTCAGCTGGCATTGTCATTACGCAGGTCTTGTGTAGGCAACCATATTGTTGAGATATCATGAGTGCAGCTTCATTGCCATATCTACAAGACACTATGTAGTAGGAGGTGTCCTAGTCCACTGGCTCATCCTGATGAAACACTACAGCAATCAGTGGTTGCTGAGAGAGAAACAGTTTTTTTCCAGGGACAAGCTCCCAGGTAGGTCATCCGATCCCAAGTACTCAGCACCAAACACATGTAAGTTATACATATGTGTGTGTTTGTATGTGTGTGTATGTATATATATGTACACACATATTTGCCCCTATTTTATATATGTGTAACAGTGATTAAAGAAGAAATTGAGAGAGGGAGACATAAGAACAATTGGAGGGAGAGGAAATTATATAAATGCAGTACTCATGTATGACATCCTCAAAAAAAAGTGTGAAAAGTACTTTTTCTGCTTTAAA